GTTAAATTAGGATTACTTTGGACCATCGACCAACTTATTTCGTCCCGTATGTGGCAACTATGGAAAAGACCACTGATTTTTTTGTATGCTAAAAACATAGTGTGACCCTCGGTGCCAGCGGTACTGGAATTATTTATTGTAATATGAAACGCGACTTTTCTAAACACATACAGTCAAAATAGATAGTGTGTTACTTACTATCTGTACCTCGCTGTTTCCAAATTTGTCCACATTGTGGGCCGATTTGGTAAATACAAGCACCATAGCCTGGACAGCCATTGTCGTAAATATTGCTCCACTTCATTGGTAAAATGTTAAGTACTTTATGTCTAATATATCTCAAAATGATGTTAAAATTAATGATAAAAGATTACACTGAGGAGGTAAGATTCTTGGATGCAGAGAACTGCATCCTATCGTTTTAGTAACTAAAAAAAATTCAAACCAATCTTATTTTTACAGGGTTGTGTTGAAGTATTAGATAGTCTTCGAGAAGGTGATTTCGGACCTTGTGAAAATGAAATAGAGCAATACATAAAAGCGTGTCACACCAAGTTCCCATACGCTATCGCTTTCAAACCACCCGGCCAGGTGCAGGAGTGTGCGGAAAACCACGTCGAAGATATACCACTACAGCCTAAAGAAATCACTGTCAACAACTGAGAACTATAGACAATACAAATGGGTGATTATGATTTGCATAAATCGATCCGCTAATAACGTTATGGCAATTTTAGTCTTTGCCATTGTAAATTATTTAAAAAGTACTGGACATGGTCTTACATCATTTAACAGTTATATTTGTTCCTCATAGAAATTTAAAAAGTTTTTATTGGTCAATTATGGCTTCAACCAAATGGCAAAATCACTGCTGCTCATAATCGCCCACTTTTACAAATATTTTAAAAGTTGATTAATAGGAAATACTTGGCTAAAGGCTTTACATCCCTACTGCGATACTTTTTTTGAAAATTCTCACGTGCAATAGATTGCAATTAATGTATTACATTGTTTGTTTTATTAAATTAACATTTATGTTATAAAATACTATTGCCTGAGAATAAATAATTTGTAAAGGCAAGGCCTTTATCATTAGGTGAAAACTGAAAATCAAATGATGCATATTTAACATGGGCTCCAGATCAAAGAACCTATTTAGAAACCTTTTGTACTAACGTTAGAGTAATATTAAAAGGTTTTCATTGGTTTGGATGATTTATAAAAAAAACAAACTGCGTCACAAATAATAAGATGGCCCCAAGCTACATCTACTGGACTTGTTGGATTGATTTTTACAATTGTTTCCTTAACGTTAACAGTTATGTGAACTTTGTATGAAAAAAATAATAGACTCTTATATCTCTCGGAGACGAAATAGAGGGAATGTTCAAAACCTACAATCGATTTTGAGGGGGAGGTGGGGTTAGAATATATTATCCCGCCCACCGCTTAAAGGGTTCAAAGTCAGTAGCTTATGAAATTATATTTATATTTATGATAAAATGTTACATTGATATATCAGGTAAATTGAAAAGTATCGTATGTATAAGAAATAGAAAAAATATCGATTGTTATATGTTATTACAATATTATCGACATCTAGACTAAACTATATCGAACAATACGCATTAATTAGAGTGGACTGAAAAACTATTTATTACACTATTAATTTTTTATATTTATTTATTATGTTAAAATATAAAAAAGTGTATTTAATGAATATACTATTGGATTGAAACAGTCTACATCTGGAAAATCGATATTTGATTCATCTTTATGCATAATAATCGACATCAACTTTCTGTATTGTTTATTGTTTTGTTTTATCTGTTATCAGGAAAAAGTAAATATAACGTAAGTGAAAAACGCGTCAAACTACGCGCGTTACCCGCACTTTGATATTTATAATGGGACTGAAAAATAAGATCCATTCCTTATAAAAAAGATTGAACTATCAAATCGATTATAGGTTTTGTACTGTTGAGCCAATGTCGATTAAGAAAATATAAATAAGGAAAAAAGCTACACACATTTTTTCCTGTCATAATGTCCTTCAAATACGTTTTAATGTTATTGTATTGTAATAAACACACATTAGACAAAGAAATGGTTTTCCATATTAAGTATTCTGTCACATTTGCCTTGAGTATTTTGAAAGGCTAAATCTTTTCAATATCTTTTCATACAAATCACTTATATTTGTATTTTGGAAGGTTATTTCAAATAGCTAAGAAATCATCACATTTTTTTAGCAAGGGTGATGTTCATTTGTGACCTAAAAATTGCATTAATTCATAATTTATCTTTCATAATAAAATATTTGCTTTTTATGTTTGAAAATCCCTCTATTATTCTAATATTTTTTTTATTATACTGCGTGTGGCCTCTCAAGTGTTCAATAAAATGAGACATTTAGGATTTACCTATGTAATGTTTAATGACTGGTTTTAGACGTGTAAAATAAACGTGTGGCAATTTTTAAAAACCTCATGCAATATTTGACTACTGAACTGAGGTATGCTTTCTGTAAATATTTCTTATTTTTAAGTTTGTATTGTAAAATATCGTTAGAATTCCTCCAGAAGTCTGTCGATGTGAAATTTATTGAATACTGTGCGGAATCTTGGATGTTATTTGTAAACATTAAAGTAGCAACATGGACTCAGTTGTGACTCTTTAGTTTTGTTGATTTTGATTCTCTGTAGATATGTGTAAAGTTTGGACAATAATTATATAATTGAATACTCCCGAATTGTTACTGTGTGTACTTTAGTTAGAAAATTCTTCACCTGGTGTGAACCATGTAATACACCATGCGCTGTATTTATTGAAAGTTTAAATTATTTGTATTTAAAAATCATTCAGTATTTTGTAATTTATTGAGTTAAATTTAATGGGACGGACACTCAGAAATTAATGATGACGCCTGCATGAAATAGCCTGCAATATTAAAATGCTGTATAGTGTATTATCAGGTTGAATATTATATGTTTAATTTCAAATATATTACAAAAGATATAGAATGATTTCGACATACAAATATCTTTCAATAATAATACAATATACTTACTGTTTTTATTGATATATGTTTTCAACATTCATCGAGTAAACTTGAGAACACAGCCGTGTTGGTTTTTTGTTCAGTTGTATGATTGGAGTATTTTGTACCCCTGTCAACTTGTACATAAAGTAATAAAATTTTATTTTACAAAATTTCATATTTGAGTTTTATTTTATTTTCATTAAACATGATTTTGCTCTTATATAATACGAAGATGTGTCATAATATAATGATCAAATCGATTCTGGTGTGTATCCTGATTTAATGAAGTATAGTAAAGTAATACCTTTATTTAAATCTGGTAGTACATTGGACCCCGCTAATTATAGACCTATTCCTGTACTACCAACTCTCAGTAAACTTTTTGAAAAAATAATTTTGGATCAATTGTTAATTTTTTTTAATACAAATAAATTACGTCATAAAAACCAATTTGGTTTTCAAGCGGTTGCTCGACGTCTGACGCCGGTGTTGAGCTATGCAATATATTTCTAATTCCTGGGAGAATTCACAGGCTGCCTTAGGTATTTTCTGTTACCTTTCCAAAGCTTTCGATTGTGTTCATCATGAGACATTAATCAGGAAACTACAACATTACGGTGTAAAAAATTTGGCGCTTATACTTTTTACTTCGTATTTAAGTAACAGAACTCAAAAAGTCGTAATCAATGGTAAAGGTTCCTCCGGATCGGTAGTATCAATGGGCGTTCCTCAGGGTTCGATTCTTGGCCCATTACTGTTTTAATCTATATTAATGACTTGCCTTATCCTGTAGGGGACAATCACGATGTAGTATTATTTGCTGACGATACCTCGTTAATTTTCAAACTCAAATGGCAGTCAATTAATTATGACGATGTAAATAATGCTCTATCGAAATTAGTAAATTGGTTTAACGCCAACAGTTTGCTTTTAAACGGCGATAAGACACAATGTATTAAATTTACAATACCTAATGTAAAACAATTTAAAACTAATGTGCTCTTAAATGGGGAGGAGTTGAGTCTTGTGGATACCACTGTTTTTCTTGGTATTACTATTGAGGCGAAACTTCAATGGGGCCCCCATATATCTAAATTAGCAAGCAGACTTGGTTCTGCAGCATATGCTGTAAGAAAGATTAGAAGTCTCACAGATGTTGAGACAGCTAGGTTAGTGTATTTTAGTTACTTTCATAGCGTAATGTCTTATGGAATTTTGTTATGGGGTAATGCGACTGATATTGAAGCTATATTTGTTTTGCAAAAGAGAGCCGTACTGGCGATTTATAATCTAAATTGTAAAGAGTCCCTCAGAGAAATTTTTTAATAAATAAACATATTAACTTTGGCATCGCAATATATTTATGAAAATGAAATGTATGTACATAAAAACATAAATAGCTTTAATAAGAATAAGGATGTTCATACCTTAAACACTAGGAACAAACATAAACTTGTAATGCCAGTTACTAGACTCCATAGAATTAGTAATTCATTTATGGGGCAATGTATACGCTTTTACAACAAAATCCCCGAACATGTTCAAAGTTTGTCAATAAACAAGTTTAAAAATTTTATTAAAGAAAAACTGAACAAAAAGGGTTATTATAATATCAAGGAATACATGAATGAAAATAACCCCTGGGAATAAGGTGATCGCCACCATGCTGGTTCTATGAAAATTCATTAAAAATTGTATAAACAAAATTATTATTAAGTGAAATTATGTTTAAAAAAAGTCCCGCTGGGTTTCTTGCTGGTTCTTCCCAGGACAGACGTATTTTCCGAACCAGTGGTAAATAAAAAAATTACTTTCAATAAGTGTTATGGAATAATCAATATTGAATAAAAATCCTTCTATTCTATTTTAATGTATTATTAGCTAATATCACAAAATTATGCATAATTTTCCATGTCAATTTCATATTTATACTATGAATTAATAAAAAATATTCATGTTATTTCGATGGGCTCATGCTTTCCCAGTCTATACCTGTGAAGTTGATGACAATTTTTTCATTCTTTGGTTTAAATTGCCTGGAAAACAAACATAGGCCATTAAGGTACATAAATCAGTCTTATTTGGAGCACAGTCATTATTGTATTAAAATGAAAAATTATATCATAGCACAAATAAACACCTGATGAAAGTGACGTTGGCACCAGGGATTGAACTAGAATTGCCTGCAATTAGCAAAGTGCAATTGTTTCTGAGCTAGGTACTAACTACAGTTCGTAGAAAAATCTTTAAAGAAATATATTAATTTATTTTGACATATTTAATCAGCTATTATTACACTGCTGGGCATAGCTTCTTTTTTTGCCATAATCATCATGCTTAGCAGGAACTTTGTATTCGACGTGGTAGAGCCATGCTGCAGCTATATTATGATTGTAGCACAAACGGGTTTGTTCGATCGGGGAAGGACCACACTTTCAGAAAATATAAGCGTAAAATAGCTGCTCAACGCTGCTGTGTTTCGTATGGTGAGTGTAGACAACCGGAAACCCTTTTTACTGGAAACGAGGCATTCCATATTATTAGTCCTCAGGGGTGGCAACACATCTGCATTTTGATTCTTAATTGAGAATAGATATGTCTATGGGCCACAGGATCCACTTACCAGCAGGTGTTTGTTTGTCATCCTTATTCTATAAAAAAACCTTGGCAGTTGCATTGTGATACAGAAATAAATAGAAAATTAACTTAGTATAAAAATATGCAAGTATGTTATTTCTATACAAATTGCATGAAGTAACAAAGGATAAAAAGATTTCATAGCTATTTATGATAGGTAAATTTTAATTATGGCATTCCTTGAGGGCAGGCCAGTTTAGCAGTGAACTTTTGTGGGCTGTAATGACGTTGGTGATGAGAATGGAAAGAATGATTTTTGAATATTATATTAATGATATTTGAAAATATTATATTTTTACACCTAGATGGTATGACATCCTTTCTGCCTAGAAAGCTGTCTGGGTAGGAACTATAAACCCTAGGCAGTGCATGCACTGCTGGGTTTTGTTTGAAGGATATAGAGTCAGTTTAATTACAGGCTTAATCTTTAGAGGGGACAACCCATCTGTAACCTTGGTTTGTATTAAGTTTTTGCAGCTGTCCATAAGCTGCAGCAGCCACGTGGATTGTAAGTTTATTTGTCACTTCAATTTTATAACAATTGCAGCCAAATCAACATATGGCTTCCACAGAGAGGACATCTGTTCTCGACGCCTCGGCAGTCTTGAAGGTTCGGACGTGTCCATCCTTTGGCTACGCGTAGACAGCGACGACCATCCGCGCGTCTACGGGTGCCTCTATAGGTCCCATAGCGGTAATGCCGAAACAGACCCACTCATCGACCACGTCCAAATGGCTACAGATTTCTTGCTACAACAGGTCCCATCCGCAGAGATCGTGATCCTTGGCGATTTTAACGCCCACCATGCCGAATGGCTCGGTTCACGTCTAACCGATCATGCGGGGAGATCTGTTTATGACTTTGCTTTGGCATATGGTCTGACACAACTGGTTACTTCGCCTACACGGATTCCAGATGTGGAGGATCATACACCTTCCCTGTTGGACCTTCTGCTGACCTCTCATCCGGACGGATATCAGGTTTCCGTCGATGCCCCTCTCGGCTCTTCGGACCATTGTCTGATCCGGAGTATGGTGCCACTCACGCTCCCTTCGCGGTTGCGTTCTGCAAGTTGCCGCCGTGTTTGGCATTACAGGTCGGCGGATTGGGACGGAATGCGGTCTTTCTTTGCATCCTACCCATGGGGGCGTGTTTGCTTCTCGCCGGATGATCCCAGCGCTGTTGCTGACTCTGTCACTGATGTGGTGCTACAGGGAATGGAACTATTTATTCCATCATCTGTGGTACCCATCGGAGGCAGATCTCAGCCTTGGTTTGGTCGCTCCTGTAAGACTGCATTACGCAGTAAGCAGGAGTGTTATCAAGCCTGGGCTGCGGCTTCGGCGACTCGGGATGTAAATACCAGCACACTTAAAAAGAAGTATAACTTCGCCTCCAGGTCCTTCAAAAGAGTTATTCCCAAGGCAAAGTCAGAGCACATAGGCAGAATTGGCGAGAAACTAGTTCGCCTTCCTTCGGGAACCCGTGCATTCTGGTCTCTCGCCAAGGCTGTCCAAGGGAATTTCTGTAAGCCATCACTACCATCTCTGCACAGGGAGGATGACTCACTGGCCCATGACGCAAAAGACAAAGCCGACCTTTTAGGCTCCCTTTTTGCGTCCAACTCGACTCTTGATGACGGGGGGAAAACACCGCCGACCATCCCGCGGTGTGAGTGCTCCATGCCGGATGTGCTGTTCTCACAGCGCTCGGTTCGCAAAGCACTGCTCTCCCTGGACATCCAGAAGTCGAGTGGGCCTGACGGAATCCCCCCAATTGTGCTGAGGACGTGTGCTCCGGAGTTGGCACCGGTCCTAACGCGTCTTTTCCGGTACTCCTACTCCCAAGGCGTAGTCCCGAATTCATGGAAGACAGCTTTTGTCCACCCGATCCCTAAAAAAGGCGACCGCTCAGACCCATCCAACTATAGGCCTATCGCGATCACCTCCTTGTTCTCCAAAATAATGGAATCCATTATTAACTGCCAGCTCATCCGGTACCTTGAGGATCACAAGCTGATTAGTGACCGCCAATACGGTTTTCGTCGGGGTCGATCAGCTGGTGATCTTCTGGTCTACCTGACCCATAGATGGGCGGAGGCAGTAGAGTCCAAGGGGGAGGCGTTGGCCGTTAGTCTGGACATTGCGAAGGCCTTCGATCGGGTTTGGCACAAAGCGCTTCTTTCGAAGCTCCCTTCCTATGGGCTTCCCGAGAAATTGTGCAATTGGATCACCAGCTTCCTTGCAGATCGGAGCATCAAGGTCGTTGTAGACGGTGCATGCTCTGACTTCAAGCCTATTAACGCTGGTGTTCCACATGTGTGCTATCACCAACGCTGTTTCTTCTGCATATCAATGATATGTTGCTAACTGGTAACATTCATTGCTATGCGGATGACAGCACTGGTGATGCTCTATACACCGGCCGTGCCAATATTTCTCGGGAAAACGTCGCTGAGTACCGGAACAAACTTGTGTCTGAAGTCGAGTCTTTGCTGAACAAAGTCTCGGATTGGGGGCGACTAAATCTAGTCCAATTTAATCCTCAGAAGACACAAGTTTGCGCGTTTACCGCTAAAAAGAACCCCTTTGTCGTATCTCCTCAGTTTCAAGGCACTCCCCTTCTTGCCTCAGCCAGTATCGGTATCCTCGGAGTCGACATATCGAGTGACGTGCAGTTTCGTGGTCACTTGGAAGGGAAGGCCAAATTGGCCTCTAAAAAGCTTGGCGTGCTCAGCAGAGCGGGACAGTATTTCATGCCGGCACACCGCCTGCTACTTTACAAGGCGCAAGTTCGGCCTCACATGGAATACTGTTCCCATCTCTGGGCAGGGGCTCCCCAGTGCCAGCTCCTTCCACTTGACCGCATCCAACGCAGAGCGGCTCGAATTGTCGACGACCGAGCCCTTTCCGATCGGCTCGATTCATTGGCACTACGAAGAGATGTTGCATCCCTTTGCATTTTCTTTCGCATCTACCATGGGGAGTGCTCTGAGGAATTGTTCGGATTAATCCCAGCCGCCAAATTTCACGAACGCACATCGCGGCAGAACTCCCGATACCATCCACACCATCTGGATGATTGGCGGTCCACCACTGTGCGATTTAGAAGATGTTTTCTTCCTCGCACGACCTCCTTGTGGAATCGATTACCATCAGCGATTTTTCCGGACCGATACGACTTAGGGACCTTCAAGAAAAGAGCGTACTCCTTTTTAAAAGGCCGGCAACGCATCTGCGATTCCCCTGGTGTTGCAGTTGTTCATGGGCGGCGGTAGCCACTTACCATCAGGTGAGCCGCATGCTCGTTTGCCCCCTCTCCTATAAAAAAAAAAAAGACTCACAAATCATGTTCTGAGTTATCTACACTCTGCTATTGTTAATATTATTTGAGCTTGCATAATTATCCTAAAATGCATAATAATACTAATATAGAATATAACATACCAATATTTAACTCCAGCAGCATCAAACATTTTTTTAGAAGCTATGTAAGTGGGTTTGTGAGCATTCTCATCCGATAAATAGACAACCTCTGTTATTCCAGACTGGATGATAATTTTTGCACACTCATTACAAGGAAATAGACCGACATAGATAGTGCAGTTCTTAACATCAGCGGAATTTCTGTTCAAAATTGCATTCATCTCAGCATGACAAACTGAAAAGAATGAATACAATTGTCATCATTAAGATTTCATATTTATTAAAATAACATTAAAGAAATTGTGAGATAGAATAACTCTCTTAAAACCTATTGAATAAAGCATTTAAATATTGACTTGTATGATTCAAGTTATAATTATATTTACAGTGGAAAAAACTGTAAGCATAATGAGTAAATAATTGCATTGTATCAAATTAACATCATTAACTTATAAATGGTAAGGCATAAAAGCTATTATTTATTGATTTGATTTCTCTTATCAAATCATAATGTTTATCAGCAATAACAATTATCTATATTATTATAACAATAATATTTAACAGCCCTAACAATAATACAGAATATAACTGCCCGCAAAATAATATACATATAGAATTACTTTAACCTATATACATAAATGAGCTTCCTGGGCTCAGCTTGGCTCAAGCATCAGACTCACTGATCAGTTTAGTTTTTATTCGCTTCTAGCTATACATGCACAGAATAATCAGTGAAGTTCACTGTTCAAACAGATTGTTTCCAAACTAATTATTTAAATAAAATTTTATTGTAATATCAAAATAATGGTCTTTTTTAAGCTCAGTGGTTTCCACTGTCTGCCTGTCCTGTCTAATCTACGTAATGGCTGAACCAATTGTGATAAAACTTCACAAAAAGATGGAAAATAATGCCCAAAGTGATTAGGCTAATGAGTAAATAATTGCATTTGCATAAAAAAATATTTATTCATCATATTATTAACTAAGTGAGTTAAGGCAAAAGTGAATAGGTTCTTGTCATACTAAGACATTGCTTACCACCAGGTGGGGTTATTCAAGCACTGGCTTATAATAAGTATATATTATATACTAGTTGACCAGGCAGACGTTCTGCCCTTTCCGACGACATGTGTCCTAAAAAAAATCATTAAATTCACTATAAAAAAAATTAGGGTCACTTATCAGGATAAAAACTATCCTATCTCTCAAGTTGGACCAAACTGCACACATTGTGAAACATTTCATTGAAATCAGTTCAGTAGTTTAGGAGTTCATCGCGGACAAACAACGTGACACGTAATTTATATATATGTGAACTGTGAAATGACAGAATAATTAGTATGGTTTTCACTTTTAAACTTTCATGCACAAAGTTGTGCATATGGAGGCCTTAATGCCATAGGGCATTCTCTCCCAGTCAACCATTAGGCTAAACATCTCATATAATAATTTCTTTACACCAGGCATATATATACCCAGACCAGCAACATGGAGCAGTGTTAAAGTTGCAAGCATCTGGTACTATGATTCTCAATCTGCCTGCCGAGCGTGATGCTTATGGCAAATCTTTCCTAGAAGAGGAAGGGCCCATGTCCAGAAATGGGCTTTTATTTGCTGATGCAGAGGAAGTTCTATGTGGTAGAGCCATACTACAGACGTGTATTGTTGTAGCATGAATAGGTCAGACCGGGGTAGGACCACACAAAATACCAGCAGAAAGTTAATACTGCTGTGATTCATATGGTGAGTGTAGAGAAACGGAGACCCTTTAACTTGAAACAGGGCCTTCCATCATAGTTCTCAGGCGTGAGAACTAATCCACATTTTGATTCTTAATTGAGAATAGATGTAGATGTCTATGGGCCACAGAATCCGTACCCATTTGGTATGAGTACTTGGTTGTAACCCTTATTATATTAATAAAAGTTTAATGATTTCTAAAATGGTATTTATGTATTGTCCCGGAACAATTATTTGCAGGCCATACAAACACTTATTCTGTGCAGGATTCAAACCCACAAATGCATAGCCACTGCACTACTGAGCAGTCAATAAGTGAACTTAATATTGTTAATATATTTTAAATGAAATCGGGTTTCTAAGCAATTCAACCAACCAACACTAGATAAATACAGCTTGGTTTTAAATGCGAGTAGTTATGCAGGTCTAATAAGACTAATGCCATCAAACACATAACTTGTAAAAAAACAAAGTCTCGCAACTCAGTTCTTCTACCTTAAAAAGTCGGTTAATTTATTCAGTCCCTACTTATGGGGTCTTTCTGTCCCAAGTTATTACATAATTAGCTAACCTAACAACATCTTAAAGTGACCATGTCAATATTAAAAATCTTTTATTTTTTAAATACATGGATTGACTTGGGAATCGCACTAAACAATCTTAGGTTAGGAAACCAACAGCAACGTAAAGATTTGTGCGAGATCCGATTCTACATATATAAACCGGCTCAAAACCGAGTCATAAAAAATTAGTCGGATTGATTTATATACGGCATAAAAATACATTATACTCATATATTATATTACATTACAATATATTACATATGACTAAATAGCAATGTAATAACAATCAAGTAAGAAATACCACTTTTATACATTTTTTTTGCTCACATATTTTTAAAACAAATAGAAACAATCACAGTGGGCTATAAATTTTAAGTGTTATTGAAAATTATTATGAACTTACCATATAAAAATTTACTATCTAAAGGTGATGGTGTATTTTTACCCCAGGGAAATTCATCATCACTACATCCTGTAGGCATACCATTGTATCTGTAAAATATTGAGATAGCTTTATTGCAAAAATAATTATATTTAGCATACCTTTACATTTTCATTATGCTTTATAACAATAATAAAAATAACTTTTCACATATGCGTAGTGAATATGTATTTATTATAATTAATTGTAGCCTATCAAAAGATCACAGCTGAATATAGACTTCCATTTTAGACAGGGGATATTTTTCCATAGTTGCCATGCTTTGATTTGTACACAATTTTTTATTATCTGTTGGAAAACTTAGTGACCACCGTGAATGAAAGTTACAAGGGCACTTAGCATATTCTTTAATTTAAAATTATTTTCTTTATTTAGGTATGTTTTCCTGGAGCGGATGAAGGAGGTAAATGCGAACGAACAGATCGTCGCACTGCGGTGTTGTGCATGAACGTGTTATGTCCTGTACTTATTTTTGTCTCTTTCATTAATTTGTTCATTATATGTTACGATATAGTGTAGTGCCAGGCAAGAATACCCACCACCCAATATCTTCCAGTGGATGTCGTAAGAGGCGACAGAGGGAAACTGAGGCAGAAGATGGGCAGCAGCATTTGTCTGATAACTGCTGTGCTGAAGTGTTTGTACAGTAGGGCTACGATGGCTATCCAAGTATAGAACCAGAGTACGAAAACTATCCAACTGCAGAGAGGTGTAAGACGAAAACGCAATTCTATTCGTTTAAGTTTCGTGATTTAAGCCGTCTTCAAACCAGTTGCAACGACGACCGTTTTCTGTAACCGTTTTCGTCGTCGGTAAAACAGTTGCGTTTCGTCCATCAAAAATTCGACAACGACCCACCATTAAAAAAAGTCACCGTTTTCGTTACTTTTTCTAAGATATCTTTATTTCTAATTAATGCATTCTGTATAACTAAATTTAATTTATGTTCGTAGCAGCTAAAATGCTCCCAGCTTAATAAGGTACATGATCTTAATATATTAGCGGCATTATCCGATACAATAAAAAATATCTGCCTCTAATTCTTGCGCAATCCTTGCTCTCGTATGGCTCCCATCAAGATCACATTGTAATAAAATTGATTTAATTTCTAATTTAGAAAAGATGTGTGCCGTAACTCCCGTATATTGCTCCAAAGTTCTGGATGACCAGCAGTCAACCGTTAAGCATACACTTTCCGCGTTTTCTGTTACATAATTTTTCAAATATTGCCTTCATTCTTCATAAAACGCTGGCAACATCGAAGAAGAAATGGTCTTCCTGCTTGGTAATTCATAAGATGGATTTAACGCACGTACAAACTCTCTAAATCCAAGGTCATCTACGATTGAAAATAGTTGACAATCGTAGGCTATTAGTTTTAAGATACTGAACAACATTTTTTATCTCCTGGTCGAAGTTTCATGGGTTGGTACGATGACATCATGTGTTAAACCTTATTCGCCGGATCAGTAGCTGACGACATACTAACACTAGCAACACCGATATTACCACCACCATCATCTTCAGAACCACCACCTTCCCCAGTATTTCCACATACGCCACTACGACCAGCTCCACTACCATCCACAACAACATTTCTACTACTATCGGTAACAACAGTTCTCAAAATTTCTCCACCGTAACCATTCACCAACTGGATGATGCGTTAAATTTTAATACACGCTAAGATGTTTTAACTTCAAGTGTGTCTTTAGATTGCTGGTTGGGCCTTTGTACAATATTTTTTTTACAATAATGACATTGCTATTTTTCCACCTGCAACACATTTTTCAAAATGGTCCCACAGCTCTGTGTGACGTCTCGGCATCATAAAAGGTGAAAATTAAACTAATTAAAATCCTATATTAAATAATAAAAAACTAATTTCACTAAATCTTAATTAACTTCCCTAGCATTTATTTTTACAAATTTTTATAAAAATCCCTTGTAATAATTTGATGAAAAAGTAAACTAAACATAATAATATTAAATTGATGCGCTTCGTTTAAATTAATACCAACAAATTTTTCAGCCAATAGCGTTACACCTATGAGTTAAAAATATCATTTTGTATGGTTTAATAAAAATTACACTTTAAATTATTTATATATTACTAGCTCGCCAGGCAGACGTTGTTCTGCCTATACTGACGAAACTCTGTCCTATTAAAAAATCCTTAAATTCGCAATAAAAAATTTGAGGGTCATTTATTGGGATAAAAACTATCCTATCTCTCAAGTTGGACCAAAATGCACACAGTGTGCACAATTTCATTGAAATCAGTTCAGTAGTTTAGGACTCCATCACGGACAAACAATGTGACACGTAATTTTTATATATAAAGAAGAGTATAATTTTCGACCGAGTGGAGCATAAAATATAAGACATAAGTTTAATTTTATAGCAAATAATTGTTAAAATCCTTAGTTTTAGACATGTGAAGCATAAATTTTAATGTAATAAAAATCAAAAGATGAATTTTTGTTTACGTCAAAACATCAATACTGAATATATTCATTCAGTATTGATGTTTTTAAAGAATATTTTCTTTCCAATAATTAACAGTTTAACAGTTAAAAGATATATAAACCATCTTTACAATATATCAAAACATTCCTAAAAACGGTTACACATGATATGCTGTACAAAGACAAAAGTTTAACAATAATGCTCAATCGAAGTGAATCCAAACACAACACAGCTGACAAAACTATAAACCTACTGCTCCGCCTCTCTGTCCAACTGATGACCCTGCCAGTCATGTAAACGAGACAAAGCCAATATAGAGTGCGTTTATTGTTAACTGTTTGATTGCCAACCTAAATGCAAAGCTTATTATTTTAAATTAAACTTTATTGTAACATGGTGGTCTAATGTCAAATGTTTATCATTATGGATAAATAAAAGCATGTGCTGATTTCTTAAATTAATTTTTTTTTTTTTTTTTTTTTTTTTTTATAGGAGAGGGGGCAAACGAGCATGCGGCTCACCTGATGGTAAGTGACTACCGCCGCCCATGAACAACCGCAACACCAGGGGAATTGCAGATGCGTTGCCGGCCTTTTAAAAAGGAGTAGGCTCTTTTCTTGAAGGTCCCTAAGTCGTATCGGTCCGGAAAAATCCCTGGTGGTAAACTATTCCACAAGGAAGTTGTGCGAGGAAGAAAACATCTTCTAAATCGCACAGTGGTGGACCGCCAATCATCCAGATGGTGTGGATGGTATCGGGAGTTTTGCCGCGATGTGCGTTCGTGAAATTTGGCGGCTGGGATTAATCCGAACAATTCCTCAGAGCACTCCCCATGATAGATGCGAAAGAAAATGCAAAGAGATGCAACATCTCTTCGCAGTGCCAATGAATCGAGCCGATCGGAAAGGGCTCGGTCGTCGACGATTCGAGCCGCTCTGCGCTGGATGCGGTCAAGTGGAAGGAGCTGGCACTGGGGAGCCCCTGCCCAGAGATGGGAACAGTATTCCATGTGAGGCCGAACCTGCGCCTTGTAAAGTTGCAGGCGGTGTGCCGGCATGAAATACTGTCCCGCTCTGCTGAGCACGCCAAGCTTTTTAGAGGCCAATTTGGCCTTCTCTTCCAAGTGACCACGAAACTGCACGTCACTCGATATGTCGACTCCGAGGATACCGATACTGGCTGAGGCAAGAAGGGGAGTGCCTTGAAACTGAGGAGATACGACAAAGGGGTAACAAATTAATTTTGTTTTGAACATTCAAACTTTAGTCGATCCCTGACAACTGTAACTTTTTTTTATAGGATTAGAGTGACAAACGAGCACACAGTCCACCTGATGGTAAGTGGTTGCAGTGGTTCATAGACATCTACATCTATCTTCGGTCAAAATGCAGATGTGTTGTCACTCGTGAGGATTAAGATGGAATGCCTCCTTTGGCCCATGATCACATACCGCACACTGGTAAGGTGGTCCAAGACAAATGAAGCCACCACTATAATGAAGCTTCAGCGCTACCAGAGACAGGCATGTATGGCTGCTACAAGCTGCATAAGGACTCCACCAACAGCAGCCTTAGAGCTAACCCTGCTTCATCTAATCTAAATATACAATAAGAAGCAACTTTAGCTGCCATTAAACTGAAGAATTTAAATCTTTGTCATACAGGCATAATTGATAGAATTCACTCAAAAATTCCTATCTTACAAGCCAAGTACGATAAGATCCCTTAACAATTTGTGCTCAATAAGAAGTACAAGATACATTTAAATGAAACCAGCCAGCCGGAAGGATTAAGCCCAAAAGAGCTTAGAGTTCTCACTGATGGTTCTAAAACAAATCAATGTGTACGATCTGGGACTTTCTCTGAAGACCTCAATATCAACATATGCACACCGCTGGGTACTTACAACACAGTCTTTCAGGCGGAATGTATGGGTATCATTCAAGAGGCCATAGCAATTGATGCTAGGAAGGTTAATGACTTCTCCATCAGGATACTGACCGACAGTAGGGTGGTACTACAAGCTCTGAGTTGCAATGTGGTAAACTCTGGAGTAATATGAATATAAATACCATCAATGATTAAATGAGGTTATGTAAACACAACAATGTGACTCTGCATGGATAAAGGGACACAGTGGATCCAGAGGCAACGATGCAGCAGATGAACTGGCCAGAAGAGAATCAGCTCTGGCCACTATAGGGCTGGAACAATCATACCAATCCCCTTTGATAACATTTATTCACTGGTACATAGATACTGCACTAATTAACACGCTCAGCTATGGAAAAATCTAGTAGACTGTAGACAAGCTAGGGAGGCCCTGCCTGAAATAAACAGTAGTTTAACCAAGGTTCTAATGAGACTAAACAAGCCACAGATCAGGATAACTAGTGCTATCACAGGACACAGCACCTTTAACAAACATTTATTTACCAAAGGTGTTACAGGTGCCCCTAAGCAGGGCATGTATGGGGAGGAAGAAACGGCCGCCCACTTGTTGCTGACATGTCCGGAGGTCGCTAAATACAGAGCTAAGCATCTCAGCATGCCGGGATCACTCCCCGAAGTTACTCGCAACATCAAAGGACTGTTGAACTTCTTCGGGGAAATCTCATGGCTTGAATAATTACATTATTTATTAGGCAAAATACGCATTTAGATGTGGAGTTGTGAAAAATAGCCCGTATTAAACTAACTATGCCTCCTTTACAGAAAATAGGGTCTCCGGTTCTCTACGCTCACCATACGAAACACAGCGGTATTAAGCTGTTATTTTACACTGGTATTTGTGAGTGTGGTACTTCCCCGGTTGAGCTGACCCATTCGTGCTACAACTATACTAATATACTATAAAAAATATAACAGAGGAAATGGTGATCAAAATGTGCATTCATATCAATTTCAAAATGTTTTAGTTTAGTTTAGTTTTTTGATATTGATATGAAAACTTTCACACCCATTATCATAAAAAACTGGTAACACCCATGTCTACTCACCTCCTGCAATAAGTACTGGTTCTTTTTCTTCGGTTTTTAACTTTTAGCTGTGGAGGTAGGTACTGCTGTTCGGCAGAAATATCACTGTACAATCTGTTGTTATACAGGTATACCTAGATCCCCATCTATCAGCTATTTAGTCCGCTAAAATATTTTTATAATAATTAATTGGTCAACTTACCCAACTCCAACGATTTTATTTTCTTTGTTTACAACACAAGCTCCAACCTGGTAGCTAGGGTCTTTACTTCGCTTTGCCGCCAAAAATGCTGTAGCCATAAAATATTCTTTCCAGTCAAGGTAACCCTCGCGTTTCTTTTGTACAGTTACTCTAAAATGAATTATTAACAACAAATAATAATTTAAAGTATTTGTCACCTTTTACAATGTGTTAAAATATAGTTTACATAGTGTTTTGTTTGATAATCGTATTATAAACATATGGACTATGGAGTAATGTATAACCTCTAACCGAGAATATGACAAAAGTAAAAACTTAAAAAAATAACTCACCCATTAACGCACAGATTTGCCGCTTTATCGGCGAGGTCCATAATTGAATTTTGACTGACGTCGGCGTAGGAAGGAAGAAATACTTCTGTTACAAAAATTCCATTTCTTCTAAAATTTTAAACGTTATCGCGACAAACGCGGCAAATAACATATATTTATTTTAGGTATGCGAGAAGAGAGCCCTCTTGCGAGTAAAACTGGTGCTTCTTGGAAAAAGCGCCACCTGATGACCGTTACACTAACTATAATATTCACATGTGTGTGTGTATATTATATTCCAATTCCCTCACAAGAGAGTACTCTGTGAATGTGTGCGTGTGTATATGTATAATGCTCATGGCCCACCCTCGCATTCAATATTCTATATTTTAAATTTATATTACTATTTCCATTCCAATTTTCTACGAATGTAGAAATTACATTCTACATTCGTAAAAAATTGGAATGGAAATGGTAATAAATGAATATAATAAGTACATATTATAATTTTTAAATATTTATAACACAAAGCCTTAGGCCGGCCACATACATACGGAATTCCGTTTCGATATTCCGATTCGGAATTCCGAACGCAGCAAGTCCATATAAGGCCGGCTACATACATACGGAATTCCGTTTCGAGATTCCGTTTCGATATTCCGATTCGGAATCCCGAACGCAGCAAGTCCATATAAAATCTATGACCCGCCACACACGTACCGTAGTTTTCCGTTCGATATTTTGCGGGCAAAACGGAATTCCGTTTGTGTGTGGCCGACCGTTCGAAATTCCGAAACGGAATCTCTAAACGGAATTCCGTATGTATATGGTGGGCCTAAGGCCAGCCTCATACATACGGAATTCCGTTTCGGGATTCCGTTTCGATATTCCGATTCGGGATTCCGAACGCAGCAAGTCCATATAAAATCTATGACCCGCCACACACGCACGTTATTTTTCCGTATGGAATTTCTCCGATTCGAGATTCCGTATGACCGCCTGTGCGTTCGGGATCCCGAACTAAGGCCTAAGGCCGGCCACATACATACGGAATTCCGTTTCGGGATTCCGTTTCGATATTCCGATTCGGAATCCCGAACGCAGCAAGTCCATATAAAATCTATGACCCGCCACACACGTACGGTAGTTTTCCGTTCGATATTTTGCGGGCAAAACGGGATTCCGTTTGTGTGTGGCCGACCGTTCGGAATTCCGAATCGGAATCTCGAAACGGGATTCCGTATGTATGTGGCGGGCCTAAGAGTAAGATTAACAATTAGCTATGAATTGATACATAAGTAGAAAATTGGAATGGAACACGGTTAATAGTTTTACAGAAATAAAACAATTATTTTTATAGAGATTTAAATATATTATTGACAATTATTATATACAAAGAAATAAACTTGGGCATTCAATTTTAGATAATTATGGAGGCATCTTAGAATACACTGTTTTCGGCAACCCATTATTATTCGTAAAACATGTTTTTTTAAGTAAACGACTGTAATAAATCACCATAAATTAAATATTCACTGGCTAGTAACACCACACTTAGTAATTATTCTACGAATTACGAAATAAACTAAATCGACATCAAACTTTTGAATTTGGCCTAGAAAAGTTAAACAAAACAAACTCAAACTTCAATTTGAACATGTTTTGAAACATTCCCGTTTAAAATAATATCTAATTGATAAAATATGAACTTTGAAACTTTTTCTTTTCTTAATTTCATAAAAATATGTAATAATCTAGGTTATTTTTTTCGCAACAGCCACAGATATATTTATATTTTCCGCTACAGAGCTTGCAGCTTGTAGTACAGACTAATCAGTAATAATTTCAATCGAAGATAAAAATAATCGGAACGTATAATTAATACTTTATAAATCATGGAATAAACAACTTTTATTTGTTATGTATATTACAAAATATATAGTTTGTAATTTATAAGATAAGTAAAAATAATTTTAATGGGCAGGTTACAAAGATATTATAATGTGAAGCATTGGAGGAAAATAATTTAAGCTTAGAATTGGATACCAGAGAAGTTATCGAACAAGCTTTCCACAATTCGATCGCATTGGCTCAGGAAATTATTTCCGTAAGCAGTACGACAAAAAAATCGTCGCTTCAGCACAGCAGCTGATGAAGATGATTACGAAGTTATCGGCTTTCGTTTACCATTGGTAACTTATTAATTTTAATGACTGGTAAATTACCAGTCATTAAAATTAATAAGTTTGATGGTACGTTCAACAAATGGTTGGAATTTCGTGATACGTTCAGTACTCTGATACATAGGTAATAATACAAAAATAAAGAACAAACACAAATTTCATTATTTAAATTCCTATCTAGAAGGTGAAGCTGCTCGTGTAATATGTAATTTAGAATGTTGCGACAATAATTATCCTGAGGCATGGAGTCTTCTTTGCGAGCGTTTTAATAATATTCGTCAATTAATAAATAAATATTTGAAATCTTTATTTAATATTGAGCCGTTGCGTGAGTCTGTTAAGTCATTAAGATTTCTAGTAGACCACGTCACAAAAAACCTACATGCTTTAAATACTTTAAAACAGCCAACTGATCATTGGGATACCCTGATCATATTCATAGTCTCAGCGAAATTAGACAGCAATAAGCGTGTTAAATGGGAGGAGTACATTCAAGCTAATGTTAATGCTTCGGATATGCCTAGCCTAGATGATTTTATAACTTTTATTAAGGGCCGCGCTGAAGTTTTGGAGTCTGTTTACCACAGTAAACAAGACAAAAGTATAAAGTCAAACCCGAATCACAATCAAGGCACCAAACAAAATCCAGTTTCTCATACTAAGTCATTCGTTAGCGCTGAGCAGGGCGACTCATTATCAACCGCGTCTCACAAGTGTATTTTCTGTAGTCAAGGTCATCGTAATTATGACTGCTCACAATTTCAAACGAAATCTATTGATGATAGACTTTCATTAGTGTCCGAGCAAAAGTTGTGTTCCAACTGTTTGCGTAGAGGGCATAATACGCGCGCATGGAAGCTTCCTGGTACGTGCAAAATATGCAAAAAATGTCACAATACCTTTTTACACAAACCAACGGATTCTGATACCAATGTGACAGTCACTAATGTTGCAGTCTATGAGCCAGTTTCGATATCAGCTGCTTCTGCCTCTGAGACACTATTATGTACGGCTTTCGTTGACATTTATAATCCCACAACAAACAATTACATTAGCACTAAAACTCTCTTAGACAACGGTAGTCAGTCTAGCTTTATTACTGAAGTACTTAAATCAAAGTTAAATTGAACTTCTTCCACGTCCGATGTTAGGAATGTGGTCGGCATATGTAACACTATTGTCAAGCTTGATGCTGAACGTTGCAATGTTTGAATTCATTCAAAGGTAGGTTCTTTCAGCGTTATGACGTCATGTTTAGTCATACCCCAAATATCAGGTAAGATACCTAAGTCTCTTGTGTTTATTACACACCTTAACCTGAAGTCTTTTGAATTAGCAGACCCCAGCTTTTATGAGCCGCCTGACATAGGACTGCTCATCGGTGCTGACCTATTTTGGTCCATTATTGGACCAAAATAGGTCAGCATCGATGCTTGAAACCGAAAGCTTGCGAACAACATTTTTTACAGCACACAAAACGCACTGAAGAAGGTCGTTTTTGTGTCAAGGTTTTTTTTACGTGGTAGAGCCATGCTGCAGCTATTTTAGTAGTATAGTTGTAGCACGAATGGGTCGGCTCGTCCGGGGCCACGCTCTCACAGAATACCAGCGTAAAATAGCAGCTTAACACTGCTGTGTTTCGTATGGTGAGTGTAGAGAACCGGAGACCCTTTTTACTGGAAGAGAGGCATTCCATCTTAGTCCTCATGGGTGACAACGCATCTGTATTTTGATTCGTAATCGAGGATAGATATAGATGTCTATGGGCCACAGCAACCACTTACCATCAGGTGGACTGTGTGCTCGTTTGTCACCCTATCCTATAAAAAAAAAAACCAAACAGCACTCTTTAGGCAAAGGAAATCCTATACTACATGAGTCTAAATTAGGATCGCTTATCGCAGGTCCCATGCACTATTTTCAAAATGACAATCTCAATTTAAATTTCCCAGTAAAATGTAATTTAGTAAGTATTGAAAACAACAATACTTTAGTTGAGCTTCACAATGATTTGAAGAGGTTTTGGGTGCTTGACAGCTTGCCACAAAAACCCCTTCTAACAGGCCAAGATAAAGCTTGCGAACAACATTTTTTACAGCACACAAAACGCACTGAAGAAGGTCGTTCTTGTGTCAAGCTGCCGTTGATCAACGAACCAGACTGCCTAGGCACTTCTTATTTCATGGGCAGGCGGCGTTTTATAAACCTGGAACGTCGCTTTCGCAAGCAACCCGAACTTAAGTGCGCCTATGTAGACTTCATTGAGGAGTATCGCAAACTAGGACACCTAGCAATCCGGTTCCGGCAATATCGTTATGTGTTGTCAGCGGATATTGAAAAAATGTACCGGCAGGTTTTAGTAGATGAGTCTCACCGAAACCTACAGCTGATTTTATGGTGTGATACGGAGGACAAACCATTACACTCAGGCTCAACACGGTCACCTACGGATTTACTAGCGCTAGTTTCCTTGCCACCAGGTGTCTCTGGCAAGTGGGCGAGGAGTGTGACGATAATGTGATTAAGGCAGTCATACAGGAGGACATGTGTTGATGACTTACTAACTTCTAGCGATGATGAAGATCAATTACGCTCTATACAGAAATCAACACATATGGCTCTTTCTATGGCTGGTGGCTCACACGTATGGCTTTCTATGGTTTTAATTTACGTAAGTACCGATCCAACTTACCTTCTTTACTGCCTTCAGACGTTGTCCAGTCATCCGGCAACCTGACATTGAGTCAGTCTACAAATACGCTGGACCTAGATTAGAGTCCTTCCTCTGACAGCATTAATTTTCCCATTGCAGTGGATCAGTCTGAGGCCGTCACTAAGCACACTATAATTTCTTCAACTTTCAAGATCTTCGATCCCTTGGGGCTCCTATCCTTGTCCACTATGGTTCCCAAAATTTTAATTCAGACCTTATGGTCTTTTAAATTGGACTGGGATGAGCCCGCTCCAAAGGAAATCGTCGATGTCTTTTTGGAGACCTTTTGTTGAAGGACTTAAATGTCTTTCTTCACTAAATATACCCAGATGGGTATCAATAGAATATCCAATCTCTGTTGAAATCTACTGTTTTTGCGATGTGTCGCAACGCGCCTATGGTGCGTGTTTGTACCTTCGCTCTACAAATAAAGAAGGACAAGTACATGTCCAAATTTTATGTGCGAAATCTCGCGTTGCCCCAGCATCCAGCCCTAGTACAATTCCTCGTTTGGAGCTTTCAAGTGCTCTTCTTGCAGCTGAAATGAGCTCATCTGTGACCAAAGCCTTGCGATGTACAATATCGCGTCATGTCTATTGGACTCACTCGAGCGTAGTTCTTAGTTGGTTGCGCTGCGGTTCTTTTAACTTGAAAGCATTTTTTGCCAAGAGAGTCGCCGCCATTAGAGAGTTGACTGACGCTAATTCATCGCACCACGTTCCTACAGAACACAACCCAGCTGACCTGCTATCCCGTGGCATGAACCCACAACAGATCGCTGCATGTGATATGTGGTGGTATGGACCTAAGTTTTTATTGTTGCCAGAGTCCGAGTGGCCTTCTGTGCAGTCGCAGACTATTATTGAGATGAAGAATTTGCCGGAAGTTAAAGCAGATCTAGTTGCTGTTTGTGATAATTATCAATCAATTATTAACTTTAATAAATATTCTAAATTAAAACAATTACAATACATTTCAGCCTATGTACATAGATTTATTAATAACTGTAAAAATTCCAAAACTAAAGCTACAGGTTCCTTAACTACCGCCGAGCTTAATAAAGCTCTTAATTCATTAGTTTATTTTTCCTAATTTCCCTAAAGAATACGATTTATTATTAAAAGGAAATTTCTTAAGTCCTAAGTCGCACATTTTGGCACTTAACCCCTTTTACATGAAGGAGTGATAAGAGTAGGTGGTCATATTCAGGCTTCTGAATATAGTTTCGACATGAAGCATCCCATGTTGTTAAGCCCTAAACACCATTTTACCCAACTTTTATTCCAACAAGAATACGTACGGCTTCTACATCTAGGGCCCCAAGCCTTACTAGCTTCTATTAGAACGCGTTTTTGGCCCATTTGTGGAAAAAGTCTGGCTAGACGTACTGTGCATAATTACACCGTATGTAGGCGTTTTAAAGGTCAGTCTATGAAAAACATGATGGGCAACCTACCTGCTCAAAGACTAATGTCCGACTTTCCTTTTATTACAGTAGGGACTGATTTCGCTGGGCCATTTATGATCACGGATCGTAAGGGTCGTGGTTGTAAAATTACAAAATGTTATTTGTGTATTTTCATATGTTTTAGGTATAAGTGCATCCATTTGTAGGCTGTTAGTGAGCTGTCCAAGGGTGCTTTTATATTAACTTTAAAACGCTTTGTTTCGCGGAGAGGGCTACCAAAGCAGATATTCTGCGACAATGGTGGAAACTTTGTTGCCGCTTAAAAGGAACTTAAAGAGTTTTTTGAAGTTAATGCCACTACTATCGCTGATTTTGCCGCTAACGAAGGCGTTGAATTTTGTTTCTCGCCTGCATACGCTCCTCACTTCAATGGTTTGATGGAGGCCGGTGTAAAGTCAGCCAAATTCCACCTGGCTAGGATATTAGGGACTACGCACCTAACCTATGAGGAATTGTCATCTTTGTTCACACAAATAGAATGCATCCTTAATAGCCGCCCCCTATGTCCATTAAGTTCCTCTCCTACTGATAATTATCCCTTAACTCCGGGCCACTTTTTAATTGGCAGACCACTAAGCTCGCTGCCATCTCTGTGTCTACAATCCACTAATGCCAATCGTCTCGACAGATTCCAGCGCATTGAGCAGTTTAAGCAACACTTTTGGCGACGCTGGAGCCACGAGTACATTGCGGAGCTGCAGTTGAGTATAAAGTAGCGCACGAAGTCCAAAGAGAGCCTACAAATTGACGACCTAGTCCTCTTGAAAGAGGAAAACGCTCCATCGCTCTATTGGCGTCTTAGTAACTAACAGTGGTAGAGCCACGCGGCAGCTTTTGCTGACGCACGGATGAGCCGGCTCGAACCGGGGTAGTACCACGACCTCACAGAAAACCAGCGTGAAGTAGAGCTTTACCTGTGCGTTTCGCTTGGTGAGTGCAGGTGGCCGGAGGCCCTTTTTACTGGAAATGATGCATTCCATCTTAGTCCTCACGGGTGACAACGCATCTACATTTTGATTTGTAACAGAGGATAGATGTACAGTAGGCGCGCGAGTTCATGTCCATCCCGAGGAATGCGGCAGTGCTGTAACCTAATCAATTATGGTAATTTCGATAATTACTACCGATATAGTGAACAGCTGTCAATTTGATATTAATTTGTAACTTAAGGTAATTTTGCAAATTATAAAATAAAATAAACATGATAAGTACTTACTTGTATATTGCTAATAGAGATTCTTTTTTAAATGTAATTTAATCACTATCGGATGCATAGACAACTGACAAAGCAGAGTCGGAATCAGTATCTTCACCGTCGCTGACTTCAATTACGAATTTGTCGATCGTATTTTCCAATAATCCGTCTTTTTGCCAGTAATGCTCTTCCAAAATTATAACGTGATCATCAAATTCACACCAATCTATTTCTGTCACCTGGTTTATAGCCATCTCCGTTACTTCTTTCAACCTTGTTAGGGTTAAATCTGAGTTAACGTTGTACTCCCTTACAACTCTCTTGATTTTTGCCCATGCTAACTCAATTGGGCTTAAGTCGCACATGTACGGTGGCAATCTTAAAACCTCATGTCCGTGACTACGGATGAGCTGGTCCATTTTAAAAGTTTTCTCCTGGGGTGCATGCAGTTTTATGACATCAAAAAGCTCGGCTTTTCTCATGCTTAGTGAAGACTCTACATTATTTCTTGTAAGCCATTCTAACATAACCGTTTTAGTGCTTGATTTTGTAGGAACTTTATTTTCCTGAACACTGTGATATGGTGCGTTGTCCATAACGACAACGCTGGATGGTGGCAAATTGGGAATGAACATGTCAGTCACCCATTTCTCAAAGTTTGTACTGTTCATTTGCCCATGGTAATCGCCTGTAACAGTACCAGCTTTGAAAAGCAACTTTGCGCCATCCAAAAAACCACGTCTGGATCCGGCGTGAACGAGAATCAGCCTGTTCGTGGAGCTGGTGTCAGTCAGTATCGCGTCTATATAATCGTTTCTCCAACACTTTTTAAATGTGAGGTTATTGTCAACCCACGTTTCGTCTAAAAAGACAATATCGCGATCATTTTCTCTATATTGACGAATTTTTTGCAAATAATTTGACCGCGCAAATACAACAGCTGGTCTTTCTACCAAAATCCTTCGCTTGTTGTGACATTTTTGCCATTTATAGCCCATTCCTTTAGACGTTTTCGTAAACTTGTAGTCCCCCAGGGAAAATCAATTTTTTCCCGGATTGCCGCCAGAAGTTTGGGACAAGTGGGAACAATTTTTTTTGTCAAATAAAATTCTTCTATACATCTCTGTATTAAACTTCTATCCAAATCATCTACATTTAAATTCCCCATTTTATTACAAGATTTCCCTTTTTTATAAGGCGAATGGAGAGGTCCATTTTTTGCTTCTATTTGAATTCTAGACAATGTTCTTTTAGTAAGTCCAGTGTAACGGGCCGCTCGATCTAAAGCATTGTTAACCAGAAAAGCGAATTTATTCTCTTTTTTCTCTTCGACACACATCTGTAGGACATTTCTCGCCATTTCACGTACTTGCTTATGTATTATAAAAGGTTATTTTCTACCTGAACTTGCTGGAAGCGGAGTAGTCATAGTTTATTCACAATAAAATAATACAATAGGGACTAATTTTCGGTATCGATAAGTACGTGTCACAACCGTCAAAGACAACACTCGACTGCAGACTTATGCGGCTAGGTGGGCGAGGGCGGGACGAAATGCCCCCGCGCGTCGCCTCTGGCCCCGATGGACATGAACTCGCGCGCATACTGTAGATGTCTATGGGCCGCAGCAACCACTTACCATCAGGTGGACTGTGTGCTCGTTTGTCACTCTTATCCTATAAAAAAAAAACTGACGGATTGACACGCGTCGCAGATATAGACACTGCAAGAGGAATTGTGCGGCGCGCCCTAAACAGAATCGTCCTACTACCGAAGCCCGATCAGTTGGAAGATCTTGAAAGCAGTTAAGCTTTCCAGCGCCGGGAGTGTGTCAGCGCCGTTACGACAGCACCGACGGTGTTCGCGGAGAGTACGAGAAGCGCGGGGTATTTACTCACCATCGCGCCTAAGACCGCCACTCGCCGATAGCTCTTTAACAGTGGTAGAGCTAAGTGGTAGCTTTTGCTGTCGCACGGATGGGCCAGCTCGAACCGGGGTGGTACCACGACCTCACAGAATACCAGTGTGAAGTAGAGGTTTACCTCTGCGTTGCGCTTGGTGAGTGCAGGTGGCCGGAGGACCAATCCCCCCCCCCATCAACATGGTAGTGGAATTAAATAAAAGACTACCCCAGGAGGGTACCAGCCCCCTGGCGATCCCTGTCACGCTATCCGTGAATTTTTGCAACATCAGGGGACTTCATTCCAAGTTTAACGCTGGCCATTACCATCTAGAGACGGCGAAGCCAGCATTGCTCTTTTTAACCGAGACTCAGGTGTCCTCTCCGGCTGATACTTCATATCTCTCCTACCCGGGGTACAAGTTGGAACACTCCTTTGTGCCCCGGGCTGGAGTTTGCGTATACGTCAGAGAGGACATCCATTTTCGACGTCTCGGCAGTCTTGAAGGTACGGACCTGTCCATCCTATGGCTGCGCGTAGACAGCGACGACCATCCCCGCGTCTACGGGTGCCTCTATAGATCCCATAGCGGTAATGCCGACACAGACCGACTCATCGACCACGTCCAAATGGCTGCAGACACTGTGCTACAACAGGTCCCATCCGCAGAGATCGTGATACTCGGTGATTTTAACGCCCACAACGCTGAATGGCTTGGTTCTCGTTTAACCGATCATGCGGGTAGATCTGTCTATGATTTTGCTTTGGCATATGGTTTAACATAACTGGTTACTTCGCCTACGCGGATCTCAGATGTGGAAGACCATGTACCTTCCCTGTTGGACCTTCTGCTGACCTCTCATCCGGACGGATATCAGGTCTCCGTCGATGCCCCTATGGGCTCTTCGGACCATTGTCAGATCTGGAGTACGGTTCCACTTACGCTCCAATCGCAGTTGCGATCTGCAGCTTGCCGCGGTATTTGGCACTATAGGTCAGCTGATTGGGACGGCGACAGCGGTCTTTTTTTGCATCCTACCCTTGGGGGCGGGTTTGCTTCTCGCCGGAAGATCCCAGCGTTGTTGCAGATTCTGTTGCTGATGTGATACTTCAGGGTATGAAACTTTTTATTCCATGCTCTGTGGTGCCCATCGGAGGCAGATCCCAACCATGGTTTGGTCGCTCCTGTAAAATCTTTTTTCTAAAAGTTTGATAAGCAGGAGTGCTAGCGGGCCTGGGCTGACGCATCAACGTCTCGGGATGTAAACACCAGCGCACTTAAAAAGAAGTATAATTCCGCCTCCAGGTCCTTCAAAAGCGTCATTGCCAAGGCAAGGTCTGAGCACATCGGCAGAATTGGCGAGAAGCTAGTTCGCCTCCCTTCGGGAACCCGTGCATTCTGGTCTCTCGCAAAGGTTATCCTAGGGAACTTCTGTCAGCCATCTCTTCCATCTCTGCACAGAGAGGACGACTCAGTGGCCCATGCCGCAAAGGAGAAAGCCGATCTGTTGAGCTCTCTTTTTGCGTCCAACTCGACTCTAGATGACGGGGGGAACACACTGCCGACCATCCCGCGATGTGAGTGCTCCATGCCGGATGTGCGGTTTACACAGCGCTCGGTTCGCAAAGCACTCTTCTCCCTGGACGTCAGCAAGTCGAGTGGGCCCGATGGAGTCCCCCCCATTGTGCTGAAGACGTGTGCTCCGGAGTTGGCACCGGTTTTAACGCATCTTTTCCGGTACTCCTACTCCCAAGGCGTAGTCCCGAATTCATGGAAGACAGCTTTGGTCCACCCGATCCTTAAAAAAGGCGACCGCTCAGACCCGTCCAACTACAGGCCTTTTGCCATCACCTCCTTGTTCTCCAAAATAATGGAATCCATTATAAACTGCCAGCTCATGAGGTACAATGAGGATCACCAGCTGAATAGTGACCGCCAGTACGGTTTTCGTCGAGGTCGATCAGCTGGTGATCTTCTAGTCTATCTGACTCATAGATGGGCGGAGGCAGTAGAGTCCAAGGGGGAGGAATTGGCCGTTAGTTTGGACATAGCGAAGGCCTTCGATCGGGTCTGGCACAAAGCGCTTCTTTCGAAGCTTCCTTCCTATGGGCTTCCCGAGAAATTGTGCAAATGGATCACCAGTTTTCTTGCTGATCGGAGCATCAAGGTCGTAATAGACGGTGCATGCTCTGATTTCAAGCCTATCAATGCTGGTGTTCCACAAGGCTGCGTGCTATCACTAACGCTGTTTCTTCTGCATATCAATGATATGTTGCTAACTGGTAACATTCATTGCTATGCAGAAGACAGCACTGGTGATGCCTTATATACCGGCCGTGCCAATATTTCTCGGGAAAAGGTCGCTGAGTACTGGGACAAACTTGTGTCTTTGCTTAACAAAGTCGAGTTTTTGCTTAACAAAGTCTCGGATTGGGGCCGACTAAATCTAGTCCAGTTCAATCCCCAGAAGACACAAGTTTGCGCGCTTACCGCTAAAAAAAACCCCTTTGTCGTATCTCCTCAGTTTCAAGGCACTCCCCTTGCTGCCTCAGCTAGTATCGGAATCCTTGGCGTCGACATATCGAATAGTGTGCAGTTTCGTGGTCACTTAGAAGGGAAGGCCAAATTGGCCTCTAAAAAGCTTGGCGTGCTCAGCAGAGCGAGACAGTATTTCATGCCGGCATATCGCTTGCAACTTTGCAAAGCGCAAGTTTGGCCCCACATGGAATACTGTTCTCATCTCTGGGCTGGGACACCCCAGTGCCAGCTCTTTCCACTTGACCGCATCCAGCGCAGAGCGGTTCGAATCGTCGACGACCGAGTTCTTTCTGATCGGCTCGATACACTGGCACTGCGTAGAGATGTTGCATCTCTTTGCGTATTTTATCGCATCTATCACGGGGAGGGCTCTGAGGAATTGTTCGGACTAATTCCAGCCTTCAATTTCGCTATCGCACATTGCGACAAAACCCGCGTTACCATCCATACCATCTGGATGATTGGCGGTCCACCACTGAGCGACTTAGAAGAAGTTTTCTCCCTCGCACAACTTCCTTGTGGAATCAATTATCACCAGCGAATTTTCCAGACCGATACGACTTAGGAACCTTAATAAAAAGAGCTTACACCTTTCTAAAAGGCCGGCAACGCATCTGCGATTCCCTTGATGTTGCGGTTGTTCATGGGCGGCGGTAGTCACTTACCATCAGGTGAGCCGCATGCTCGTTTGCCCCCTCTTCTATAAAAAAAAAAGCTCGCGACCCGATCGCCACCAAATTATTTTGTATTTTATTATTTAAATATACAATTTTGCCTATCGTATGAGTCGCCTATTTTATTCATGTTCCCTAATTGAACAGTCCTTAATAGTCAGTAAACCGTTTGATAATATTTTAATACTCGTCATTATCTAAACAAAATTTTTATTGTCGAAAAAACATTTTAAAACTTTGTATCAGTAAAAAAGTAATTACCGTGACAGAAACTATATTTTATTTTTTACGTGGTCAACATCGTTTTATAATGTCAATTCACTATTGAGAAGTGCGTAATATTGGGTTTATTTGATCTGAAACTGCCAATTCCGATGCACGTGCTGTTATAGCTTTATTAAGTAATAGCAAACAGTGTTGAATTTTGGTACTTTTGCCGAAATACAGTTCCTCACCGATCCGCTAATTATTCAAGAAAGTACAATGTTTCATCTTACATTATAATACAGTGTCATAATACGAGTATATCTGATTTTATGTATAGTACGATTTATGTTCGTGATTCAAATTGTTTGATTTTTATGATATAAATTCAAAAAATCTTAGCAAATTTCACTACCGTAACTTTCACTACCGTAGATAATAATAATAAATAATAAATAAATAAATTTTATTTCGTTTTTAAAAAGTAAATGCCTTAAAAACAAGTAGATTGGAACCTCCATTTAAGCAAATAATGCCTGTGTTTGGAGGGGTGGGTGGGTGGGTGTGTGTGTGTTTGTGTCTATGCTTGCGTGAGTTAAAAAGAGTATGTGTGATTACAGTGTCTGAATCTGAACAAATCATGCTACACAATCCAGTAGCTTCTCAATTTCGTCATATGT